TGCATCGGCATTAAGGCAAGGCAAGTTGACATGATAGAAAAAGAAAAACCATGAGTAGATTGACAAGTATGGGGAAAACCAAAGTAAATCAGAGAAAAGACAGCAGACAATGGGAGCCCTACAAGAAATGGATATGGCCCAGACACTCTGGTGTTGTACCCGTCTAAGAAATCCTATATCTTTATTTCAGCAAGTCTATATGTTTCTGTTTCCATGGTTAAAGAACTCAAAAAACAGTAATAGTCTCACCAATATCAGGGTAGAAAGATTTAATTAGAGCCAGGCCTAAAACAGTATTTATGCTTTGAAAAAATAACTGTGAAAATTAATAAACTTCAATTAAATAGAGTTGGGAGACCAGAAGGGGGACCTCACCCTGTAGTAATCGCAAAGCCCAACAGGAAGAAGACTGATTCCTCTCCTTTCCTGGCGAGGACTCAGCCAGTGGAAAGCCGTGGACACTTTGCTTACTGTAGCCTCCCACCTTCCTCTGCCCCGCTGTATTAAGTGTTCTCTTTCCTGAGCTTGTGGGGATTAGCATCTGACTCCCCATGGTTGCAGACCCCAAACTGCTCTTTTCCGCAGATCCCGAATAAACCCATCTTTGCTCAAGAAATGTCTGGAAGTCTGTTATAGGTCAACATGCCACACCACTGACTCTTTAACAAAGAAGTCCTCTCCTTGTTATAGAACCACCATCAAAAACTCAGATGCTTAGAGGAAACAGGAGAAAGTGGGTTAGCAGCACCTTGTGAGTTTCTTCAGATTCAGTCATGCTTCATTTTCATATTAAGTCTATAATAAATTTCTTCGTTTATACACACACTCACACACTGCTTTCTCCCATTTTTCCTAACCTATCTCCCATTTTCTGCTTTCCATAGAGATAAGAGTACAAGAAAAGAACAACAATTAGAGGTGATGACAAATTTCAAAGGACATTCAGTCTTGCTGGCTGAGAGGTAACAAAGAGAAAATGGTCAACTAGAAAGTATGTAATTTCCTACCTGAGGAGAACAGTCATTACTCAGTCTCAATCGTCTGTCACCATATAGGTCCTAACTTTAAATTTTCAAAGGAAGACAAAAATTTAGACTGTTTAGATAAACAGTTCCTAGTTTTTAAATGTTGTCAATAAATTTTCTCCTAAAATGACAGACTGGTTCACTGGCTGCAAACATGCAATACTGTAGACCCATTTTTTTAATATAACTTTCAAGACTTTTAGCTTCCCCAGTTATGTTTATTTAACATCTATAAATGCAAGGCCTATAGTCAGATATTGGGCAAAGCACTACAAAGACTGAACCTCATTTATTTTCCTCCTCTCATGTTATTTTACATTCAACATGTTATTCCTCAGAGACAACTTAAAACCAACAATATTAACATCTTATTAATTATTAATTAATTCCAAACTAAGCCATTTTCTCTGAAAGGGCAGCAATGGAAACTCTTCAAAGTTAAATGCCTAGGGTGTGATGAAAAACGGTTTACAAACGCTTTGCCACTTCTGTAAATATCACAGCTAGCCTCTGGGCCTTTATATCTGCTACTCTTTCAGCCTGAAAGGGCTGCCACCTCCAGGAAGCCTTCTTATGTTCTCCCTTATCATCCTGAACTTAGCCCCTCAGAGTTCACTACACACACTACTGCAACCACATGGCTGTTGTTTACCTCCCCATACTTTTAAGGATAAAGCCCATACAGAACACAGGATTCCATCTCCAGAAGCATGACACGAGATGGGCCATGTGTCTGAATACACAGAACCTGTTCCTTCAGCAGGCCAACCACTTTCTTAGCAGCTACCAGGTACCTTGCACTAGGGCTCATTTCTTCCCTCAATAATAGTATGGTGAATAAGTCTCTACCCTCTCAGTACACACTGCATTGCAGTTCAGGGAATGGAACAATTAAGGATTTGTTAAACACAGAGTAAAAAATACATGGCTCCTTTTCAGTTCATTACCATTATAGTTGTGTGGCTTTGGAAGTATCACTTAATTTCTCTGAGCCTTAGTATCTTCTGCCCAATAAAAATGCAGATAATGCCAACTTTACTAGGTGGTTGTGAGAAGTGAATAAGGAATTCTAAGAAGGGCTAAGCACATGGCATATGCTATAGTTCATAAATATGTTGCCAACAAACACCTTTTAAAGAAACCAAAACTCCAAGTGACTTTGCAACTGATTTTTAAATCCTTGACAGTTAAGTGAAAGATGAAATAATTCAGTAATTGTGTCAAATTCATAGTCTATAGACTACCAAATAGTTGTTTAGTTTTATGAAACTAATTTCTACCAAGCTTGAGAAAAACCAACAAACACCTCGTAATCCATGCTCTGTAAAGCAAATAGTTCAAGGATTGTCATGTACATCTATCATGGCAAAACAAAAACCTTTATGCGAAAAGTCAGGAGACGAATTTTGGCTTAGCATTAGGAAAAAAATCTAAGATTTCCAAATAACCTACAGCTATCCAATAACATACAATAATCAGCTTTCGTGTAGACAGACTAATGCCTGTGCCCCACCACACCCAAGATGTCCTAACCCCACAACCTATGAATATGTTATGTTACATGGCAAGAGGGAATTAAAGTTGAAAAAGAGATTAGAACTGCTAAACAGTTGACCTTTATTCAAAAAAATTTAAATAACTTTGGCATATTTTTTTATTCATTTATTTTTTGGCTGTACTGCACAGCATGTGGGATCTTAGTTCCCTGACCAGGGATCGAACCCACACCCTGTGCAATGGAAGCGTGATCTAAACTACTGGTTAGCGTGCATGTGTGGATGCTAAGTCACTTCAGTCGTGTCCAACTCTTTGTGACCCTATGGACTGTAGCCCACCAGGCTCTTCTATCTGTGGGATTCTCCGGGCAAGAATACTGGAATGGGTTGCCATGACCTCCTCCAGAGGATCTTCCTGACCCAGGGATCGAACCTGTGTCTTCTGCAGCTCCTGCGCTGCAGGTAGATTCTTTACTACTGAGCCATGAGGGAAGTCCTTTAACCACCGGCTCACCAGGTAAACTCCTGAGGACCACCACTGAAAAACTGATCTTGAAATAGGGAAAGAATCCTAGATCACTGAGGCGGGCCCAATATAATCAACAGGGTCCTGTATACATCAAAGAGGGAGGCACCAGGAAGCTAACACAGCTTTCCTAGGATTCCTTACAGATGAAGTTCAAGCAGATAGACAAGTTGTTCGCAGTGTGTTGAGGGGTAGGTAAAATGTCATGATGTCTCAGGTAAGGACTGTCAAGTTTGGTCTAAGCAAAACCCCTGAAACAGCATGCACATATTTGAGTATGCAACACTTGCTCCCTCTCTCAGTAGAGAGAGTTTAAAATGTTCAAAGATCCTCAAAAGTATCTGTTTAATAAGAACATTCTTTCTCAGTTATTCCTAACAGTGAGCTTTTAAAGTTCCATGATTTTCTAAGAGAGCAAATCTCAAAGTGTAGCCCATGAAACACCAAATGTTGATATTTTGTACATGAAAATTCACCAAAGGTTGTTTGTAAAATGTAGATTGCTGAGTTCCACCCCAGACAGAATCTCTGGCAGCTGTAGGAAAGTTCATTATTTAACAAACTGGGGGAAGAGAAGACAGGGAATGCTATGAAACATTAGGCTGAAGAAGTTAAATTGTTCCCTTAAATCTTAAAATCTCAGTGCACTCACCATGCCATTAACTTCATTTAACATTCCCTCCCTCCCACCCCAGCCCCCCACCCCCCCCTCCCCGGGCCTCAAGTAGCTCAGAATATGACGAACTGTAATATAAAAAATTTGGCGTAGGCGATGCCTACGCCAAATCTTTTATATTACAATTCATCATATGGAGGGACTGAATGATCGGCAGGTAATAATGATACATCACGCGTATGCACTCGCCCCTCTTGTAAAGGAAAATAATGGCTGGCACACTACATTGCAAACTATTAAGTACTGGGAGAATCGTGTTGTGTTTAATGACAACTTTCTATAATAAATTTTGTGAAGAAAAAGGAATTTCAAGGACTGCCCAGTTCCACAAGGGTTAATTCACAACTCACGGCAGTTGCCCAGCAACAGTGAGACCTGAGAGGAATTCAAGATGAAGCACTCTGCTTTGGATAAACAGGCTCTAAGATAGTTCAAAGGACATCTCAGGAAGAATTTAAATAACCCTAGATTCGTACATCTCCCCATTCATAGAAAAACACTAAGATAATAAATATTAAACTCAGTAACATGACATATCTGTTATGATCGGCAGTAATCTTTGCTAAGATCTACGCTTGACTGCATGCATTTCCTAGCCAAAAAAATTCATATGTAATCTGGCTTACCCCCCCACACACCCACCACTGCAGAGTAGTTGCTCAGAGCTGAGTCTCTGTCTCCCGGGCTATAAAACTCAGTAAGACCTCGAATAAAACTTAAACTCACAACTCTTACGTTGTGTCTTTAAGTCGACACCTTCGTAAGATTCCCCTCCTATTTCAAGCTCATGTTTTGTTAAAACATTCTTCCGGACCTATGTCTGATGATGTCTAGACATTTACAAATGGGGTCCTTCACCAGTCCTTGCCTAGAGCAATCCCAGTGGCCTCGAAGTTCTCCTGTGACGGGCCAGGAGAATGAATAAAAGCAGCTAACGATGACGTCTGAATGTCAGCAAACTTAGGCAATTAGCCAACTCTAAAGACACCTGAAATATGACTGGGAAGCGGCCTAAGACAGGCCTCAGAACCCAAATTCCAAGGCAAGGTCACGAAGAAGCCAGGCGGCCAGGGATGGAGTCAAGTTCTCCTAGCTTCCAAAAAAGCTCTTTGAGGCATGCACTAGACCAGGTCAGCAGACCCTCTCCCAGAAAAAAGGATTGGGGAACGGTGAGCTGCGGGCGCCTCCACACCCAGAAGCAGGCCCTCGATCAAAAAGCCCCTGCCCCAGGTCCATTGCTCAGGTACAGAGAAGCTGAGCAAGCCCCGGCCACTCACCCCACAGCCACTGCGTACTGTGAAACCATCTCCAACTAGCTCCACGGCCGACAGACCACCTAGCAGCCCCCTTAACCAGCTCTGGGCTTCCGCGACTGCCAAAGCCCAGAAGGCAACGCAGCAGCCGCGGGTCACAGCCTACTCTCCAGGAGGCCGCCATCTTCCCGGCCTTCTCCTGGGCTGCCCTCAGCACAGCCTGATCGCCCAGTCATCAAGGCCCGCCCATGTCCCGCCTCCCACCCGGGGACACGCCCCCCTAGAGGCCTGCGCGCCTCTGAGTCAAGTTCTAGCCCCGCCTCCAACCGGGTTGGCCTCCCGGCCAGGCGGCTGCGCGGTTGGGTCAGAGAGGCCTTCCCAGACCCGCCTTTCATTTTGTCCGCCCCGCCCCCAGGCTGCCCTCAGAGCCGCCTGATTGCAGTTCGGGCCTTGTCGCGTGGGCCCAGGCGGAGCTTCAGGAGCAGAGCCGTGCGGAGGTTGCAAGGCGCGGGTACCGCTAGTCCCGGCCATGTCTGGCTCTCACTCTCCAGAGGGAGACTGTTGCTCACGGCAGTGCCGCGCGCAGGTAGGGGCGGGGCCGCCGGTGCCCTCTATTCCCAGGAGGCGAGGCGGCGGCGGAAGCGAGGCGCCGGCCGGGTGGGGCTTTGCGCCAGACTGGACGCGACCACGGTGCGCCGCCTCTTGCCCCGCGTGTGGACCTGAGGCTCCGTCCTACGCGGCGAGCTGTGCTTCCAGCGCTAGGGTTTTTCGGCCGCGAGGGCTGGGCACCAAACGTTGAAAAGGGAAAAATAACTGAGGGGGAACAGTGGGCGTCTTTAATGGGTGTTTCAAAACCATTTAACATAAAGACAGGCCTTCGGGGAAACGCGAAGCCCTGGACTGGAATTGGAGCTAGGACTGTGTTCTGCTGCTGTTTTCCTGCGCCCTGGCGAGGATCCATCCTTTCGTTTGCCGCTCAGTAGGCAGTGGGAACACATCCGCGGAGCCATCTCTTCTGACTGTAGCCAGCGCTTTGATTCTGTGCAGTTGTTCTGTGACTATCTCGGTTTAGATTGATTATGGAATGATCTTTAAAAGGATTTTTCCTTAAGCAGAAAAGGAAAATCCACCCTTGGGCTGCGCATACCGTTTCATTCTGGAACACCCACGTGCTCAGGGTGATGATTAAGGGCTTGGCCTTGGGTATGGAGGAGATCTAGAGGAATAAACAATTACAACGTGAGAAGCCTTGCTTAATTAAGAGGCAGAGAGGGAAAGCCCCCCCCCCCGAAACTCGCTTCTTTATTTCTCCTGTTATTATCTCTTGGGGCTGAAGGTCCCAATTAAAAAGTAGTAATATGGCAGGTTTTATTGGGAAATTCTTGGCAACCACTGTTCTTGTGTGAATAAGTGACATAACAGATTAGCAAAGTCTCTTATTTGTTTTCTTCTTCCCACGTACTACAGTTTGTTTATTCCTCATTTCACTGCCATTTAAAAACTCGCCCACTGTCTGCCTCTGCAAGGGTTAGGTCAGTACCTGCTGGAGTTACTGACTTTCAACATACCCTGAAAGGAGTTGAGAGAGGAGATCAGGAATGAGATACTCTAGGAAAAACTGGCAGAGCAGGCTGTCCGACAGTTGTTTTCAAGAGGATATTTTATGAGTCTTAATTTTTTGCCTTTTTCTCCTATCTAGAAAAGCACTAAAAGAATTAACGGAGACGTCTGTTCCTTATGACTAGCATCAATCTTCTGGTGATTAACATCAACCTTTGGCCAAAATGTGGGCTTGATTCCATGTAACTCCCTTTCACTAAAATAATTTACGTACTGACCTCCCTTCTCACCATTTTGGATCAGTTCCTCAGTACTGAGAGCCTGTCTCCCTGCCTATAGTCCTCATTTTGCCCCCGATTAAACTTAACTTTGAGGTTGTGCCCCCCCCCCCCCGCTTTTTTTTTTTCTCATTCAACATGGCTTTTTAAAAACTATCCTCTGGAGTATAAATTCTGTTAATGCAGTGACTTTGTTTTGTTCATGGCTGAATTCCCAGAAGTGCTTCATGCATGGTAGACAGGCAAGGAATACTTAAAACTGGTATCACTATCCACGTAGCAGCTCAGCCAACTGGAAAGTTAGAATTCCTTGAAGCCTGTTTTTTTTAGGTTTTCTTACCCAAAGCCTATCCTTTTTAACTTATTTATCTTTCAAATCCATCTCCACCATCACACTTTAAGATTTATTTTTGAAACTGTTTTGCACAGCTATCTGGTCTGGTCTTTTGCTTCCTTGGTCCTCCTTCAGCCTTTTCTCTTTACTACTCCTATAGAAATATTTCAAAAACAAGATGTGATCCAGTCATTTTCTACTTAAAACGACTCAGCAGTTATCAACCATCTGTAATATAAAGTCCAAACTCCAGTGCATGGCATGAAAGATCCTTAAGGTCTTTATCCCTACCTGCCTCCATTCCACGGAACCTAATTCTGGTTGCAGGTACTTAAGTTCTATCTGACTGAAATGCTCTTTCTCCTCTTCACATACTTGCATACTCCACCACATCCTTTATTAAAACTTAGCCCAGTATCCCTTCCTCTGTGGTCTTCCCAACTCCTGCTCCCTCCCACCAGTAGCTTCTACTCACATAATGCCCTGGACCATCTTGTTATATATTATTTTGTGATTTCACAACTTTTATTAGAGTTTGAGCCCTCAAGGGTGAGGATTTCATCTTACTCATTTTTATTTCTTCAGGGTCTTCAGTAAAAGTTTGTTAAGTGAATGAATGAGAAGGCTATTCAGTAGGTACACAAAAAAGGTACAAAGGGCAATTGCCATGACACAGAGTTTGAGGAAGAATCACTTCTGCCTGCGAAGATGAGAGAAAGACTCATAGGGGAAGTGGGTGTGAAGGCTGATAAGCAAGAATTTGACAGCTAGAATTGGGATAATTGGAGATCCAGCATGGGCAATGAGTGCAAAGAGAAAAAGATGTATTCTTGGCTGTCAAGATAATGTGTCTTAGTTATCTGTTGCTGCATAGCAAGTATTCCAAAACTTAGGCATAACACACAATCATTGTCTCACACAGTTTCTGACAATTAGAAATGCAAGAGAATTTAGCTCAGGGTTCTGGCTTAAAGTTTCTCGTGAGATGGCAGTCAAGCTGTCAACTAGAGCTTCAGGCATTCAATCCTTGACTGCAGCTGGGATGTGCTTCCAAGCCCACAAAGTTACTGGCAGCCCTCTGTTCTTCCCATTTTATTGGCCGAAGCCTCAGTTCTTCCCTATATGGTCTTCTGCATAGGTAATACCCTATAACATGGCAGCTGGTGATCCAAAGGAGAGCACAGAAGACAGAAGCTGTAGTCTTTAGTAACTTGATATTGGAAGTGACATACTATCACTTTTCAGTCTGTCTTAACACAGACCAGCCCCATACAATTTGGTATGGAACTCTACACCAGGATGTGGAGACCGGGAAACTGGGATCATTATTAAGGGCCATCCTGGAGGTTGATAACTACATAGGTGGACTAGATCTGAGAGATTCATGTAAAAAAATGAAAATGTTTGAAAGTTAAATTGGAGCAAAAAGGCAGAAGGACTTAAATAACAGACCCAGGACACGGTATCTGAGCATTAAATGATTTGAGGAAAGTTTAAGTGATTAAAGTAGTGTATTATATTAGTACTAAAAATAGAGTGAAGGGTAAGCTGGAGGGAAATGGAGAAGTGGTAGGCAAAGAGGGCAAATAAGAAAAGATAACGTTCATCCTCGCCAAATATGAGTCTGTGAGAGCCTTACACTCTACTATTATAAAGTAAGAAAAGCTAGGATGATGGGAAAGTGAATTCCACAAAATTAACTGCATTCAATTTAAAGGACTACCTTTTATTCTGACATTATCCATCCTACTCTTTTATGTTAAACATGCACTTTTTTTTTGAAGAATGTGATAGTAGATGATTACATATGTCGTAACTTGGCAATCTTATGTCAGTCCCTAAAATTTAAAGAACAACAGCATCAAAAGCTACTGATTGTGAAATTCAGAAGTCTAGGAATCACTCATCCAGATTATTAATAGAAGGAGCTCGATATCAGAAAGAGTCACTGACTTGCCATAGGGCACTCAGCTAGTGGATATCAGAATTAAAGCCAGGCTCCTTGTGTTATCAAGTCCAAGCTTGCTCTGTTTGCCACACGATAGGCCAATGGATCGAGAGACAAAGTGTTGAGGCAAGGAAGAAACTTTAATTGGGGAGCCAGCAGACTGAGAAGATGGCATGCTAGCACCTCAAAATAACCATTTTATTGGGGTCTGGATGCCAGGTTCTTTTATAGTTTAGAGAGAAAGAAGCAAGGAAGAACTAAAGTCGAAAGGCAGAATGGAGAGGGAGATGCAGTGGGGAAGTAAAGTGAACAGGTCTTCAGTCTTGCAAAAATCTCCAAAGAAATGTCCAGCCTTCAGAAGGAGTGTGGTAATCTCTTCAATGAGATGCTTCAACAGTAAGTGAACCGATACCTTCCAGATGTTCAAGCTGGATTTAGAAAAGGCAGAGGAACGCGAAATCAAATTGTCAACATCTGTTGAATCAAAAGGCAAGAGAGTTCCAGAAAAATGTCTATTTCTCCTTTATTGACTATGTCAAAGCATTTGACTGTGTGGATCACAACAAAGTGTGGAAAATTCTTCAAGAGATAGGAATAATAAACAGCCTTATCTGCACCTGAGAAATCTGTATGCAAGTCAAGAAGCAACAGTTAGAACCGGACATGGAACAGTGAACAGGCTCCAAACTGGGAAAGGAGTATGTCAAGGCTGTATATTGTCACTCTGCTTATTTAACTTATATGCAGAGTACATCATGCGAAATGCCAAGCTGGATAAAGCACAAGCTGGAATCAAGGTTGCCAGGAGAAATATCAATAACCTCAGATATGCATATGATACCACCCTTATGGCAGGAAGTGAAGAGGAACTAAAAAGCCTCTTAATGAAAGTGAAAGAGGAGAGTGACAAAGTTGGCTTAAAACTCAACATTCAAAAAATGAAGATAATGACGTCTGGTCCCATCACTTCATGGCAAATAGATGGGGAAACAGTGAGATCCTTTATTTTCTTTGGCTCCAAAATCACTGCAGATGGTGATTGAAGCCATGAAATTAAAAGATGCTTGCTCCTTGGAAGAAAAGCTATGACCAACCTAGACAGCATATTAAAAAGCAGAGAAATTAGTTTGCCAACAAAGATCTGTCTAGTCAAATCGATGGTTTTTTCACTAGTCATGTAGGGATGTGATGAGTGTTGGACCATAAAGAAGTCTGAGCACTGAAGAATTGATGCTTTTGAACTGTGGTGTTGGAGAAGACTCTTAAGAGTCCCTTGGACTGCAAGGAGATCCAACCGGTCCATCCTAAAGGAAACCAGTGCTGATTATTCATTGGAAGGACTGATGCTGAAGCTGAAACTCCAATACTTTGGCCACCTGATGTGAAGAACTGACTGATTTGAAAAGACCCTGATGCTGGGAAAGATTGAGGGCAGGAGGAGAAGGGGATTATAGAGGATGAGATGG